CCCTTCCTCTCTGAAATCAATTAAAAAATATTTTTAAAATATGATTAAAATAGCACATTTTGTTATATATATTTACAATAAAAATAATTCCAACACAAAAAAAAGGCAAGCACACCAGAGCACAAACACCGCATTTAAGACAAAAAACATTTTCATAGCTTGTTGATCCACATTAAGTGATCAAGATGCTACAGTCAAAAATGTTCCGTTTGGGTCATTCTCAATAGCTGCTGAGTCCACACTGTGGAGGACTTTGCATAAAAACGGTTTAACCAGAGGAAACTGGTCGAAGAAAGCTAGTTTAGGATCACTGCATGCTTAAGATGGAGAAGTATAAGCAAGTAAGTTAGAGAAAGTAATTGAAAGTAAAAGAAATATTAACACAGGTCTCCAGTAGTTTCCTTATTTCTGCTGTTGTTATACTACCACTATTGCTCATCTGAATTTATACAACTTTTCATAAGAATGAAGACTCAAATTGTTGTTTTTTTCCTTTTCATTTTTAACCCAACACTAACTGAACAGCAGCCTGAGTATACCAATGAACGAAATCTTATCTCTGACTTTACCCCCGCTAAATAATTTAGTCAAATACCAATTGAGCTTTCTCTTTTTTTTTTTTTTAATATATTTTATTGATTTTTTACAGAGAGGAAGGGAGAGAGATAGAGAGTTAGAAACATCGATGCGAGAGAAACATCGATCAGCTGCCTCCTGCACATCTCCCACTGGGGATGTGCCCACAACCCAGATACATGCCCTTGACCGGAATCGAACCCGGGACCCTTGAGTCCGCAGGCCGACGCTTTATCCACTGAGCCAAACCGGTTTCGGCATGAGCTTTCTCTTTTTTTAATCCTTTAAAAAATGGATTTGCAATGATTCTTTTTTATTATTCATTTTTAAAAGGATTTTGTTTTAGCCAACAAACAGGCTGGGTTTTACTCACCGGTGTCTTCTAATTCTTGCCCAGAGGCTCTAAGCTTGCATTCCTTTGGGTAGTGTTTCTGAATTACCTCCCACAGTTCCTTATTGATGAGAGAATTTCTTCGAGTATGATACCGGGTCCACGAAGAGACCCGACGCCGACAGAAGGGACAGCATAAGTTCGCCTTCTCCACAGTCGACTGGAAGCATGCATTACAGAGCGTGTGGTTACAAGGCAGTGTTACCGGCTCCATGAAGATTTCCATGCAGATCCCGCACTGGCATTCCGACAAGGAAGGGATGGCATCTTGAGGTACAGCCATTTTAATATGCTAAAAAGACATAGTCAACATCAACGCCCGAAAGACAAAGAATAGTATTTCCGGCCCAACCAAGGAGAAATCAAACGAACAGTTTTGTGTTTAAATATTATGCCCAGCAGCGTATCAGGATTCACAGGCTGTTAGCATCAAACACGTCTTGAAGCCAAAGGCGCTCTGCGGGCCGGGTAAGCTACACTATCCTAAAGGCTGTGTGTTTGTCCCTGTTTAAGACAAACGTCTGGTAAGAAAATAAATGAACGTGTCCGTCCAGAGGTTTCAATGTAACTGCTTCCGCAGCGCAGCCGGGGGGCTCCCGCCCTCGGGCGCGGGGGCAGGCGTGTGACAGGTCCCCTCCTCCCGCTTACCAGGTGAGGATGCTCCCGCCGCCGCCCAGGCAGCAGCCTCGGGGCCACGGTTCCGGAAAGGACCCTGCTTCCGCGGGGACTTCTGGCTCCGCTGGAGGACTTCCGTTTCACCATCGCTGCGGGGTCAGCGCACGAACCCCTGCGTCCCAGCTTTCCGGCATCTGGGGCGCTCGGAGGCCGCCTCTCCCCTCTCCAGAGGCAGCTAAATAGCTACATCCCATCGGTGCTGCCGCAGCAACCCGACAAGGGCTAGTGACGTCACAACTGCCCGCCGAAAGGGGCCCCGCCCTCCCAGGAGCCGCCCAATGGCAGAGGCCAGGAACGCTGTGCAAGGCGGGACTTCCGGGGCTGGAGCGCGCCCATCTCGCTCTACCGGGCGGGAGAAGTCCCAGCTTCGGCCTCTTAGCCCCTCCTACTTCAGCTGGGGGGCGTCGGAGTTTCCCCTGCGTTTTTCTGCTCCCGGAGGCTGCGGAAACTGGGAGGATTATCGTCTGTGGTCAGAAAAGGGGAACCTCCAAACACATTTTAAAGTTTCTTCCCGTACTCTTCAAACTACTTTTCTGTTTCTATTAATTTGTAACTAAGCCTCTTAGATTGCTAATCCAAAGTTTTTAGAAAAGCAGCTCTGAGGTTGATCTCGGGGAAAGGTTGTGATCAGAGAATCTGCAAACTTGTATAATTTATAGAAGCACTTACTATTCCCTCTGTAGCCCAGCCCCTTCTCTAATTTGCCTTTCATAGGTAGGTTCTTTTTTAAAAAATATATTTTTATTGATTTCAGAGAGAAAGGGAGAGGGAGAGATGGAAACATCAATGATAAGAGAATCATTGATTGGCTGCCTCCTGCAAGCCCCCTACTGGGGATGGAGCCCACAATCTAGGCATGCGCCCTTGACTGGAATCAATTTGGGACCTTTCAAGCTGCAGGCTCAGGCTCTATCCACTGAGCCAAACCAGCCAAGGCCATAGGAAGGTTCTTTTAGGATTGTCGGGCCGCAAGGCTGCTTCTATCATGAGGCTCAGCAGTCGAGTGCATCGTATATAATGTAGTATTTTATTATTAAATATAGAACAATCAAAATTATTAGGAGGCCAAAGGCAAAGTAGTTTAACATCTTGGCATTAAGTTCTTGTGCTGACAACTGATCCTGTGGTGGGCAGTTAGACAGGAGCAGAGAAAGGAGGATGGGCCAGGTACAGAAGGTCACCAGAGTGGAAAGCTCTGGGTGCCTAGGAAGGGACAATTATAGGGTGGGACCTCATTCCCTAGCATTCAGTTTAGACCTCCCTGACCTTTCATATCACTGGTCATTCGGTTTAGACCCTCTGGCCTTTCCTCCCTAGAAATAACATCTAGGCCTCAGTTGGATTTTAGCTCCAGGACCAAGAAAAGCAGCAAAACCAGCTGCATTGAATAATGACCTACTGCCCTGGCACTGACCAATCAATCAGTGGAGACCTAGCCCCTGAAAGGACACACCTGGAAAGCTGATGAATATTCTATTGAAATCCTCCTCTGGGACCTCCCTAAGATTTCCACCCTTAAAACACATAGGAGGAGGACGTGCATTTTGAGCCCTGGCTGAGTAGCTCAGGTGGTTAGAACAGTGGTCGGCAAACTGCGGCTCGGGAGCCACATGTGGCTCTTTGGCCCCTTAAGTGTGGCTCTTCCACAAAATACCGACTTCTGCGCATGGGCCACGAAGTTTCAATTGCACTGTACTGCGCGCCCACACACGGTATTTTGTGGAAGAGCCACACTCAAGAGGCCAAAGAGCCACATGTGGCTCGCAAGCTGCAGTTTGCCTACCACTGGGTTAGAACATTGACTCCATATGCCAAGGTTATATGTTCAACCCTGTTCAGGGCACATATGAGAATCAACCAATGAATGCATAAATAAGTAGAATAACAGATCAATGTTTTTCTTTTCCTTCCTCTCTCTAAAAATCAATAAATTTTTTAATTCTTGCATTTTGATTTCTATTTTTAGAAATCGTCTGTAATGGATACATTTTATATGCTTCTTCAGATTTCCTTGGCCTTGTCCCTAGGTCTGCCTGAGGGACATTGTTGAAATCTCTGTCTCCTCCTGCCACTTTTGAACTGTGAAACACTGCACTGAACAATGCAGGCTCTGACTTGCTTGTGGCTGCTGGGAGGGCTTAGATGATGCATCCTGGAAGTATGGGGTGTCACTCCCATGGAGCAAACTTTGGCCAATTGAAAACATAGAAATTTTCTTTTTTCCAAGGCAAGATTCCTTCAAACGGTGTGTTTGGAGAAGGACCAGATTGAGCGGATATATCTGCCAAGCAACCTGCTGTATCTCTTGTGGCTCATTTTCAAGGAGGGGCCAGCAAGGTAACATATTAAATAAATAAATAATCTTTTATCACTGATTGGCTATTACTTATCTTTTATTGTATTACTTATATTTTATTGTATTACTTATCTTTCTATACCTAGCATCCTTCCAGAGTGTTACTGGATTCTCACTGTCCTGAATTTGTACCTCCCAAAAAAGCATCAGCATTTAACATTTACCTGGAAGACAGGACCCACATTTTTTGTTGTTGTTAATTCTCACCCAAGGATATTTTTCCATTGATTTTTATAGAGAATGGAAGAGAGAGGGAAAGACAGAGAAAAACATTGATGTGAGAGAAACACATCGATTGGTTGCAAACCCTGACCAGGGCCTGGGCTGGGTAGGAGTTTGCAACCAAGGTATGTGCTCTTGACCGGAATTGAACCTGGGACCCTTTGGTCCGGAGGCCGATACTCTATCCACTGAGCCAAATCGGCTAGGGCAGGACCCACATTTTTAAATGTTTTTGTTGCAGCACCTAGCACATGGCATTTGGTGTTCAATAAATATCATAGATATATGATCAATGTGTGTGAGTTCCCTTTCTGGTATAAATAACTGTGATACTGTACTAGAGAGAAAATGTACATCAATATATAATATAAGGTATTTTTATTGTTTTGTCTTTTAATAGATAATACATTTACATGGTTCAAAATTCAAAATGTATATATGCATTAACAAGATTTCCTCCTATTTTTGACCCGCTAGCTTCTTAGTTTTCTTCCTTAAGACAACCAATGTTCTCACATTCTTATGTATCTCTCCAGAAGAAGTTTATAAAGTTTATGGATATATTAGCTTATGTATGTGTATATATACATATGTGTTTGTCCCTTTTTCCATTTAACAATACATTTTGGAAATACATATTTTACTTTTAAAATATGTTTTTATTGATTTCAGAGAGGAAGGGAGAGGGAGAGAGAGGAAGAAACATCAATGATGAGAATCACTGATCGGCTGCCTCCTGCACGCCCCCTACTGGGGATCGAGCCCACAACCTAGGCATGTGTTCTTGGCTGGAATCAAACCTGGGACCCTTCAGTCCACAGGCAGACGCTCTATCTATTGAACCAAACCCAAAGAGCTTCTTCATTCTTTTATATGACTATACAGAAATATCCATTGTATCAATTTATCATAATTTCTCTAATACTCTCCCAACTTTTGCTATAATAAAAATACCGTAAGTCCATAGCAAAATTGTATATACATATTTTTTTCCCATTTGCAAGATAAATTACTGGAAGTGGAATTGCTATGTCATAAGGGAACAGGTTAGTTTTTGACAATTGGCATCAACTCTTTTAGAGATGACTTTTGCTCTTCAGGGGCTGTCACTGCTTTCCCCTTCTCAATGAGCTGGACAGCCATCAGCAAAGCATTCTGCAGAGCCTGGTTCTTTACCATGTTGGTGATCATGAAAGTGACATCCCTGATATACATCTGTCTCACTTTGGCACTGTAGTGTTCTGCCTTGTTACCATGTGCAATAAAGAAGGTACAAAGTGCTGTGGTATCTCTTTCTTGCAGCCCACACTCCTCCAGGACAGATTCCCATACGACTCTAATGCGCTTGTTCTTGACTTTTCTTCTAAGGACGGAAGCTAAGGTAGGAAGACTTCTCACCAGGTCTGGCAGCTTCTCAAGCACACGAGTGTGCAAGCAGATGAGTACTTCCATGACATAGCTGTATATAATATTTAATTCCATTGAAGTGAACCTACAAATAAGGGGAGAGCTTCTAAAGCAGTAGAATACTTTATGTTCAAATATAAATAAGTTCTAGTAGGATAGCTCCAAGAAGTGCAAACCCACTAGGAGAACCAGCTCTTGTATTTTAGAAAACACGTTAGAAATAAGACCTGCGCTAAACTGGATACCTAAGTTCTCCAGCCACCCATACTATACATTTCTTAATGGCAGAGGAGTTATATTATCCATCTTTGTGTTAGTAAGATTTTGGCAAGCAAGAAACTGTTGATGAGTACTGCAGTGCCTGGCATATAAACAAATTAATATTTTTGGAATAAATGAACCTAAGAATATGTGATTTCTTCACAATCCATTGCTGGAACCACATTAAGAAGTTCAATTTTAGCCGAAACCGGTTTGGCTCAGTGGATGGAGCGTCGGATTTCTCATTGGATACTCACTTGAGTGCCAGAACTGCTGTCCACAGCTCATCTTGGGCTGCCTCCCCAGTAGGAGATGTGCAGGAGGCAGCTGATCAATGTTTCTCTCTCATCGATGTTTCTGGCTCTCTATCTCTCTCCCTTCCTCTCTGTAAAAAATCAATAAAATATATTTAAAAAAAAAAAAAAGAAGTTCAATTTTAGAATGACCATGCCATTCTCACAATAAGATGAGAATGTATTATTTACAACCACTACCAAAGTTGGGTAGCTATTTGCCATTCTCTCTATCCATCATCCTAGTTCTTGCATTCCTTATATTGCCAAACTTTTGAATTGTCTACTTGAGTTCATTTGTCATGTTTTATCTTTGTATTGTACTTTATACTTTAAAAAGTACTTTATAGCCCTGACCAGTTTGGCTCAGTGGCTAGAGCGTCGGCCTGTGGACTGAAGAGCCCCAGGTTCGATTCCAGTCAAGGGCATGTACCTTGGTTGCGGGCACATCCCCAGTAGGGGGTGTGTAGGAGGCAGCTGATCCATGTTTCTCTCTCTATCCCTCTCCCTTCCTCTCTGTAAAAAAATCAATAAAATATATATATTTTTAAAAAGTATTTTATACAGCCCTTGGCTGGAGTAGCTCAGTTGGTTGAGCCTTGTCCCATGCACCAAGGGGTCACTGGTTCAATTCCCAATCAGGGCACATGCCTTGGTTGGGGGCTCAATACCTGGTGGTGGGCAGTAGGGGCAGCCGATCAATGTTTCTCTCTCTCCATTCTTCTCTCTCTAAAATCAATAAAAACATATCTTTTTTTAAAAAGAAAAAAATAGTATTTTATACAAGCATTACTTTGAGTCTCACAACCACCATAAGAAGTGAAATAGTCGTTTCTACTATTTTACAGATAAAGATACTAAATATCAAAAAGATTGAGACCTCTCTGGCCAGTGTGGCTCAGTAGTTGAATGTCGACCTCTGAACCAGGCAGTCACAGTTCGATTCCCAGTCAGGGCACATGCTTGGGTTGCAGGCTCGATCCCTAGTGGGGGGCGTGCAGGAGGCAGCTGATCAATGATTCTCTCTCATCATTGATGTTTCTCTCTCTCTCTTTCTCTCTCTCCTTCTTCTCTGAATCAATGAAAATATATTTTTTAAAAAAATTGAGACCTAATGTCATATAGTTAGCTAGTGCTGGAACCAGTATTTAATAAGACTGCTTTCTCTACCCTATTCTGTTTGAATGCTATCCTTCCTTTAAGGATAAGCTCAAAGTCCACTGTCTGCTTGAATCCCCAGACTGTCTACCTGAAGATCTCCTCCCTGCATACTTTATTCTCACAAGGACTACCTCTATCACCTGTCACTCCCACCTACTGCTTTATTTTGAGTTAGTTTTTCATGAACAAAATTGTACGCTCTTGGAGGGAGGGGTTCAGAGTCTTTTTTCTTGTACTTTTTTTTTTTTTTTTTTCGGAGAGGGGGAAGTGAGGGAGAGGAAGAGAGACCTAGGATTACAGCAGCCTAGCTGGATCCCTGCTATCAATTTCTGCAACATCCAATCCATCCTCTAGAAATATGCTCCTGAAACACACTTCGGATCATGTCCTTCAACTTTTTATGCCACCCTGACTTGCCCAGTGATACTGTTAGATCCAAGCTGTATCTCCTCAGCAGGACACATAAAGTCCTTTACCCTGTGCTCCCATTTTTGCCACTCCTCTCACAGCCTAGTCACCAATCATTGAGACATCTAGCTGCTGACTGAATACGGTATGCGATTCCAAGCTTATATGGCTTACATATACTGCTTCTCCAGTCTAGAGTTCCCTTCCATATTTTTCTTATAAACTCCTACTCACACTTTAAGATCTCGCTTAAATGTTCTCTATGAAGAATTCCTTTTCCTAGTATAAAAGACAAAATTAATTGATCCTCTCTTCATAGCCCTTTAGGAACATGACCATTATATGGCCAATCACAATAAATTTTAAGTATTTTTGAATACTTTTGTTATCCCTACAGGCAGTGAGTACCTTCAGAGCAGAAACCACATTTCATTTATTTTTACCTACCATATATAGCACATGCACTAATTTAATGGAATTCTTGTACCTGGGAGTACATTTTTCTTTATTATTAACTTACATATTTCTTTTAACCTGGAAGACTTAAACCACTTTAACAGACATAGAAGTCTAATTGGCATGTCTATAGTTCTTTGCCTATTTTTAATCCTTATACTTCTTTAACCCACCTTCCCAGTAAAGAAGGCCTATACTTGCTCCCTCCCTGTAGCCCTTAGCAACCTTTTCATTGTCTCTTTCAAGGATATCAGGGTTGCGGTTTCATTGTTCATCTTCTTAAGGCAAAATGAAAGGAAACAAAAGCAAAACAAAAACCCAATAGAGGTTTGAATCCAGGATTTCCTGCTGTCTTCCACTCAGCAACAGGCAGCACCAGCGTGAGTATTAGATCTGAATTCTGCCTGAAAGGTCACTCAGTACAAGAAGCTTTTAATAGCTTGTACATCCAAATATAGTTTCAAAGAAATGATCGTGTGGACGCAGGTGTCCTGGAATTCACTATGATGTTTGCCTTTGAAAAATGAGCTGTAGTACATCAACAGAGCACAAAAAACAGATGTAATTGTGGTTCTAGTATGTTCTGGTAAATGTATATATGGATACACAAAGGTAGACATATACCAGGATTAAGTTTGATGGAAATATAACTCAAATTTTAACATTATTCAATTATCATCTAAATTAGGTTTAAAGAAAGCCCCAGACCATTTATTGAGAGCTTCTAGTATTAGGTTAGGTATTGGAAATAAAAACAGGCATAACACAGGATTCCGGAATTTAAGGGATTCAAACTCTACTTGGGGAGATAGGACTTTACTTTAAAAATGTGACCCTGGCTGGTGTGGCTCAGTTGGTTGAGTGTCCTCCTGTGCACACAGGTTGCTGTTTGATTCCCAGTTAGGACACATTCCCAGGTTGCAGGTTCGATCCCCAGTGTGGGGTGTGCAGGAGGCAGCCAATCAATGATTCTTTCTCATCATTGATGTTTCTATCTCTCTTTCCCTCTCCCTTCCTTTCTGAAATCAATAAAAAAAAATTTTAAAAAGAAAATGTGTATAAAATGTGTGCTAAATAGGTATAGACCATGAAAATAATAGAGGAGAGCAGGTCACGGAAGCCTTGTGTAATTCAGAAACGCTCACATTGAAAGTAGGATTTGGGCTTTGCCTTAAAGGAAAAAGTAAGTCTTTAGTTATCAGAAAGTAAAGAGAAAGGTGTTACAAACTGGAATAATTGTGTGAGCAAAATTATAGAGGTGGCAAGGTAAATAATGGTTAGGGAAAATTGTGTGGGTATGTCTCAGCATAAGATTCATGTAAGAAAAAGAAAAACAGCATTTAAACGGAAAAATCAAGGGCGTGGATTTATTTATTTATTGAATAATTTATTTACTTGTTCAATATTTATTCAATATTTACCGAACACCATAAATACCAATTGAATGGATAAAACCTAGGAATGATCAGCACTATTCCTGGTGTTGAGAATACAATGATGAGCAAGGCAAAACCCTTGTCATAAGGAGCATACTAGTAAGGAGACAAAAAAATCAAGGATTACAAAAGAATGAATGGTTCTAGAGAGCCTGGTAGGAAGTTTCCCAGTCAGGACATATAGGTAAGATGTAGGTTCTGTAAAGTTAATTAGTGGTGTTTAGGACAGATCTAAGTGGAAATGAAACCAGAGGCAGACAAGCCCCTCAGAACACTGCTATACAGTCAGATATGAGGTGATGAGGGAGTAGATTACAAAGAGTGGAAAGACAAAGGGACAGATATGAGAAGCATTCTAATCCCCCCCCTGGACTCCTGGGGGTTAGAGTCAGGAAGCTTCACATAAATCTTTAGAAAACTTGGGGAATCAAGTCGCTCCTTGCCTCAGTGGGAAAAACCTTGCTAGGGTCTCATGTCCTACCAAGTAGCCATCCTCCCCTCCTCCCACCCCATCTACTTTTATCTCATTAACAGAACCCAAGTTTTGTTCAAGTACCGGGAAGCCATGTGCTTCAGGAAAGCCTGGGCCTCTCCCCAGTCACAGGGGAGTGAATCTTAGACTAAGCCAATCATATTAGTTTTATTATTGTTGCTATTTCTATTGGTCTGGGAATGGGCAGGTGGCAGAATTCTGGCCTATGAAATGTGAGAAGAGGTCTACTGTGGGGCTTCTGGGGTGGTGTTGTTTTTTTAAATTGTGATAAAATATACATAAAATTTACCATTTTGGTGAAGGTGGGTGAAATGTACCAGAAAGTACAAACTTCCAGATATTAAAAAGTCTTGGGGATGTAATGAACAGTATGAAGTCTATAATTAATATATTCCACGTTCAAAGGCTGTTAAATTGCATTGTTTACACATATCTTCAGAAAAAAATCACTTCTGTTGTGGTAAACAACCTGCCTCCCTATTTATAATGGTCTGGCCCTCTAGCAACTTCAGCATGAAATTATAGCTAATTTGCCTACAAACGTCAGGTGGTCATAATAATCTGGCCATTCAGTGTATATTTGAAAGTTGCTAAGAGTGTTCTTGAAAGTTTTCATCACAAGAAAAAAAATTGGTAGTTCTGTGTGGTGATGGATGTTAACTAGATTTATTGTTTTGATAATTACTCAAGATATACTTTTTTATCAGGTCATTATGTTGTAACCCTGAAAATAATATACAGTAGGGGCCCACCCCCCTCTTATCTGTGGAGGATACTTTCCAAGACTCCCAGTGGATGTCGTGAAACCTCTAATAATACTGAATCCTCTATAGCTTTTTCCCGGAGTCCACACAGCTGAGAGAGAGGTAGGGAGGGAGAGGGAGAGAAAGAGAGAGAAACATCCAGTTGTTGTTCCACTTATTTATGCATTCATTAGTTGATTCTTGTATGTGCCCTGACCAGGTATTGAACCAGCAACCTTGGTGTATTAGGATTATGCTCTAACCAACTGAGTTACCTGGCCAGGGCTACCTCTGTGACTTTCTAAATAAACTTTGGTTGTATTTGAGTTCCTTGGCTCTGAGTTCTTTTCTTAGCTGAACTCAAGGACTGAGGTCTAACATCTGGTGCCGTTCCCTGTCAATAGAATCACCTCACAAAATATGTGTAATTCTCTCCTTAGGTCCTGCTTCTGGTGTACATCAAATTAAGACTTACACGTACTTACAGCAAGATCAGCCATTGACCCCAAAATGTGTTACTTTCACATTTATTATATATGTATAGACATACAGACAGTGGGGTTCTTTTTTTTTTTTTTGACAGTGGGGTTCTTATGGGAGCTTCCATTTTATTTATTTATTAATATATATTTTATTGTTGATAGTATTACAGATATCTCCCATCCCTACCCTGTTGCCCCCATCCTCTCATCCCCTCCCTTCCTCCTTCCCTCCCTCCCAGGTCTTCACTACCCTATTGCCTGTGTCCATGGGCTATGCATATCCTAGATCAATGGTCGGCAAACTCATTAGTCAACAGAGCCAAATATCAACAGTACAACGATTGAAATTTCTTTTGAGAGCCAAATTTTTTAAACTTAAACTATATAGGTAGGTACATTCAACTTTAAATTCAACTTTAAATTCACCGTTTTCATCTTCCGTTTATCTTTTGTTTCTTCTTTGTAGCCATCTCAAACAGGGCACCTAAAAAAGTGTTTCATTTTATAATAATAAAGCCACCAACACAAAAGAATTACAATTCTTAAATTGATGACAAAAATACCTGTAGGATTTGCAGCTGGTTGGAAAAATACAGGTGACTTTATGCTTCGAGTAGGTACTTTTGTCACCCGCGCGAGATTTGCGAACATGACTAGCACTAACCACTGCACAATGAGACTGCTGACTGACTGGCTCACTCAACTCGTGCATGAATCGCGTGTGCCTCCCCCGCGCTGCGTATCCCGCGGCCCGCCTGCACCGCGTCTCCCGTCGCCTGACCCACCGACACCCCCCACTTCTTGTAGCGCCACTTCTTTAAAATAGACTCACCCAGGCCGAAAACCGACTTCTGCGCATGTGCCACGAAGTTTCAATCGCACTGTACGTGCGCGCCCGCACGTGGTATTTTGTGGAAGAGCCACACTCAAGGGGCCAAAGAGCCGCATGTGGCTCACAAGCCGCGGTTTGCCGACCACTGTCCTAGATAATAAAAGCCCAGTGATCATAATGGCAGAACAACCATGAGGTACACTGACCACCTCTTGGTCCCTTTCCCCAGCCGGCAGGCTCTGACTTGCTGATGGTGAAGAACGGGAACTGCGGTGGGTGGCAGGGGATGCAGGCAGCACCAGGCCGAGGCCCCTGCCCTGCTGGTCGCCCCACACACAGAGGCAGCAACGGCTGACCTCTCAGTCCCTCCCCTGGCCGTCAGGCTCCCATCGCCAGATGGTGAACAGGGAACCGGGGTGGGTGGTGGCGAGATGGCCCTGATTGCAGGCTAGGCCTAGGGACTGTACCCATGCACAATTTCGTGCACCGGGCCTCTAGTAAGTATATAACTTATTTGGTTTGTCTTTTCCAGTCCTCCTAACCCTACATCAGGGTATATCAGTCTGTTCCATGCCTCCATGCTTCAGGTCTTTTGTTGGTCAGTTGGGTTAAATTGTTGAAAATTGGGGTAAATTGTAGGATACCCAGCCAGCGTCTTCTGAGAACTGGAGAATTGCTCGATGTGAAAAACCCACATATCTGGTGTCAGAAATATTGAGGGTGGAGAGGAAATGATGTGTTTTCTTTTAATGACTTATTACATAGTGAATACTCATGTAACCCTAACCAAAATCAAGAAACAGAATGTTGCCAGAACCGGTTTGGCTCAGTGGATAGAGCGTCGGCCTGCGGACTCAAGGGTCCCGGGTTCGATTCCGGTCAAGGGCATGTACCTTGGTTGCAGGCACATCCCCACTGGGGGGCGTGCAGGAGGCAGCTGATCGATGTTTCTCTCTCATCGATGTTTCTAACTCTCTATCCCTCTCCTTCCTCTCTGTATATTTTAAAAAAAATTAAAAAAAAAAAAAAGAAACAGAATGTTACCAACTTGCCAGAATTGGCATATGCTGGAGACCAAGATCAACAGTAATTGATATAAATGTGAGGAGTCTGGCAGAAGGCTGACCAGGACTCCGTTTGATATTCACAGGGTGAATATCTACATTTTATTACCTGCTGCTGACTCAATGGCCTAAAGCAAACTCTCCCAAAACCTGATAATCTTACTGTTTACTAAACATTACCATTGATATGTCTGTTTGCATTCCTAAAGGCAATTGTGTATTCTA